AAAAGTTTGCAAGGGGAATGGGATATACCTACTTGGAACCCATTTTATTCCCTTGTAGGCCATGTTTAAGGTTGCTGGGACCCTGAATTTCCCACCTAAGGTTCCCAGCAGCTTTCAGGGCCTGTGTGGACCTCTTCTCTAGGCCCAGCTATCCCCATACTCACCCCTAAATTGAAAAGGTTGCTCAGGGTAGTATTTACAGGAGTGTGGACAAAACTTAGGCTTGTAGCATGAGGGATATACATGTTTTCCTGTGAATCTTGAATCAAATTTCTTACTAATTCTATAAAAGGAGTTCCACTTCCTCTTTTCTAAGGCTCCAGATATCACAGCCATGTTCTATTTGTAATTAAGAGAAGAGCAACAGCTGAGTATAGGCTGGAAATTCAGAATAGGTCATTTTTTTCTACTTAGCACAATCTGTAACTTTACCATAGAATGTAATAAGACAAAACATTTCTAGGAAAAGTATCACTGGTTAAGGGCAATTGATTATGTTTCCCTTAGTTCACTGCTACTCCTGAATATCGGAGGATTCTGAGGGTTTAAATTGTGACATGATTTTCTAGATTAAAAAATAATAATTTCTTAAACACCAAGCCATGTAGTCTTCAGATAAGCTCTTGTTATACTGAACAGAAGGGTACACGGATTATCTTTCCCCATTCTTACATTCTTAAAATAAAAATGAAATCCCTTATTTTTATAGTGCTTCATGTAGAGTTTATATAGAACTATATTTCACCTATAACTTCCTATATAACTTACAAAGGTCTTCACATACACATTCTCTTGTGTAACTGTCATAGAAAGCAAATTATGTTCCTCATTTAACAGATGACAGTACTGATCCTTGTCTAGGTTACATTACTGGTACTGGAGGAAATCAGGAATAGAACTTGGGTCTTTTGTGCCTCGTGTTCTTCCCCTCATATACCAAGCTACTCTTAAGTATAAGAAATTTTGTTCCAAAGCATTTTCATTACTTTGTTGAGAAAAAAAAGTTTTAAAAAAAAAACTAGTACAAAAATTCACAAAAGATAAAATTACTTGCTATCAAAGTCTTATCAGTGGTATACCTGGTTCCCTGAGTCACAGTGTCAGGTCTCTGCATGTTCAGCACAATGTAGGTGAGTTCTACACCCCATACAATCACCGCCCCACAGCTTTCTGACCAAATCAAGTACATTAGAAGAGAGGCAGGATAATACATTACCAGAGACCTGAATAAGTGACCTCACAAAGTGAAATAGACCTTTCAAAAAGCTTACCTGAGTGCAAGCTGTTCCATCCTCTGACTGGGAACTGGTAATGGAATATTAAGAAGCAAAAACTGAGATTCCTGCTATGAAACTAACAACACAAAATACCATAATTTCATAAAAGTTTATAAAAGATTTCTGATTGGCTATGTTGAAGCTAGAAATGGTTAGAAGCTATATACTGAAAACTTAAATACCTGACATCCATTCGAACTTTTAGAAGTTTGGAGACCGTGAACATAGAAGGCAGAAAATCTAAACATCTAAAATCCAACAAAAGGTCTGAGGACATTGGCCTATTGTGAAAAGCATTCAATGTGATGACTATTCAAAGTCTCGCACTTGGCATTCTGGTTAGGACTGTAGGACATTTTTCTAAAATGGGCTCCACAGTATCTTTCCTATACATGAAAAGGATTTTAAAAATATAATACAGTACAAGCAAATTACTAACATTTGGGGGCAGTGAAACTGATGAAAATGGTTAAAAGATTGTTCCTAATTATAATCTTCCACTTCAAAAGAAATGTTGAATGCAGATACTCTTTTTAATATATTGCCTTTGGGGCAACTTTTTAGAATAATTCTTTGGTAGAAGGCTTCAGATCTATAAGCCGGATCTCTAAGTAATTGATTTCCCAGCATTAATAATTTTTAATGAGTGAAAAATAAGGTCCTAGTTGGGAATATTTTCCTCAAACTGGTCAGGTTCCTGATTGCCTAAGCAATCTGCAAGATAATAACAAAAACCCAAAAATTCCTTTCTTGCTGCTACATAAGCTTGGATTCAAATAAACAAACAAAAAACTCAATGGGAGCCACATCACTAAGTCATCAAGTGAAGCAAAGCCATTGGTTTTTTAACCTAGATTTATGCCCAAGATTCAGACATGACACTGCCACTTTGGATGCCAATATGCAGTGGGAGCTCTTTAGTACATCTTATTACACAACTTTTTCATTTCAAAAATTATTACAGTGCCAAATATTGAAATACTGGGGTTATCAAAAAGACATCTAAAAATGCACTGCCTTGCTTAGCGCCATAGGCACAGTGGTTACGGCGCCAGTCACATGCACCAAGGCTGGTGGGTTCAAGCCCAGCCCAGACCAGCTAAACAACAATGACAACTGCAACAAAAAAAATAGCTGGGCGTTGTGGTGGATGCCTTAGTCCCAGCTACTTGGGAAGCTGAGGCAAGAGAATTGCTTAAGCCCAAGAGTTTGAGGTTGCTGTGAGCTGTGATGCCATGGCATTCTACTGAGGGCAACATAGTGAGACTCTATCTCAAAAATAAAATAAAATAGTAAAAAAAAAAAAAAAATGCACTGCCCAGTGAGTGTGGCAGGTAAGCACTGGGTACCTGTTAGAAATCTATGGTAGATCTTTAGAAATAAGAAATACTGGCTTTCTGACTTAAACAAAAAATGCACTGCCCTATAGAAAGGAAAGATGATATATTCTTTACAGCAAATTTTCATTCACTTATTCAAGTCCTTCCCTTCTTACAACACTGAAAGACTAGAATCAATCATCTTTAAACTACTTTCCTTTGGTTCCTCCCCCTAAATTTTAAGTCATCCATTCTTTCGAGATGCAGTATCTCAGTATCACATTTTACAATAACATTTCACATGGGGATTTTCTAAACTTTGTAGGGAAGTAGATCTGTAAGCAGGAAGAAAGCTTCTACCAATATTTAGTTTATACAATATCAGAAAAGGCATTTTAGAGATTTGTAACAAGTTAATTACTATCTTAAAAATGAACATTCTTCAACACAAAGGAATATATAATCTTTAACTTCTAACTTCATTCACAAAGAGAAAAAGCAACTGGGTGCTGTGGCTCATACCTACAGCCCTACTACTCTGGGATGCCGAGGCAGGAGAGATGCTTGAGCTCAGAAGTTTAGGAGTTCAGACCAGCCTGAGCAAGAATAAGACTCTATCTCTACTAAAAACCAGCCCATCATTGTGGTAGGTGCCTGTAGTCCTAGCTACTTAGGAGGCTGAGGCAGGAGGATTGCTTGAATCCAGGAGTTTAAAGGTTGCTCTGAGCTGGGCTGACTCCATGGCACTCTAGCCTGGGCAATAGAGTAAGACTCTGAGTCAAAAAAAGAGAGAGAAACCAAACAATAAAAAATTAGCCAGAAAGCTATAGTTTGCTTTTTCTACTGAGAAAAAAAGTATTACTAATAACAAATAAGGTTCAATTTCTGTAACTGGGGATTTTTCAAATTATAAGGCTTTCAGTTCTAAAAGCTAAAGGTATCACACGCTCACAGTCAGCTTAATCTTGTCAGATGATTGTAAAAGAGAAAAGTACTGAAACTGTCAATTATATAATCTACTTTAAAGGTAATTCCTTAAGTAAATTCATGTACTCCTAAAAATGTAGACTAATGTTGAAGGGACAAAGATCCATGTCATATTTACTCCCACAAAGCAAAACTTTTCTAGGGATAAGTAATTTCCAAGTACTTACCAATTTTATTCTTTCCTCTCACAACTGAACACAATTTGAGTCTGAGGAACATCTGATTGCCCACATCTCTTCATTTCCCACCTTAGTCACCACTGTTTTAACACTTATGTTTTTCCTTTCTCTAAGTCATTTTTACGAACCAAGGGCCAAAATGCAATAATTACGGTAAGTATTGAGTACATCGAGTATTGAATTTTCCCATACGAAGACAGTGTGACTCAACTAAAATCGAAGTTTTGACTCACAGACACTGCTACTATGAGATGACTTGAGACGTTGTTTTTGGTACATTATCAGCAAGTATGACTTTATGAAAACTGAATATACAAAAGGTGAGAATTACCTGATATAATTACAATTAATAATTTTAGAGCTGGAAGGAAATTCAGAAATCATTTAATTCAAACTTAGCCACTTGGGAGGCTGAGGCAAGAGAATCTCTTAAGCCCAAGAATTGGAGGTTGCTGTGAGCTGTGACACCACAGCACTCCACCAAGGGCAACATAATGAGACTCTGTCTCAAAAAAAAAAAAATTCAAACTTAATTACTAGATAAAGAGAATGAGGAACAGACTTGTCTAAAATCATAGTTTTCACAGGGCTAGAGTTAGAACTAGAGTTTAGGTCCACTATTCCTGGTCTATTATTCCTTACACTCTACAGTCTTCATAGTAAGAAGTTTCGCTATTATTTGGAAATTCCTCTCCCAACAAATCTTTGTTACAATTATTAAAAGAAAACTTTTCAAATTCTGATTTCTAATCTTCCTTCCTAGTTCATGTTTCTTTGAATTAAAGACAATTAAACTTTAGAAGAACAAAGGATCAGGATCAAGGAAATGACATGAACTATTTAAAGAGGATAAAAGTACAATCTGATCATCAATTTCTCTCACAGGAGGTTTTACCCTAGAGAGCTCACCTACATAGTAGTCTCCATCAGCAGAAATAATAGGCAGCTTTCTAATTATTCTTTAAAGTGACTGGACCTAACTCTATATCTTAGATAGAAAGAAAATAAGTTAGTAAAGCAAAAGTTGATCCAGGGGACATTTTTTCACTGACAGATCATCTAAACATCAGCTCACAGGGCACTGAAGAGATCTACAGTGTACTCTGTATGGCAATATGTAAAGCACGAAACTTTACAAGAATTGGTGGCTGCTCACAAAAGGAGATGGGAGGGAGAAGACTGTGTAAAAGAGACAGAAAAATTCAAACTACAAGGAGTAAAAATGAAAATTTTAAAAGTTAATGCATATTTGTTTTTATTTATAGATAACCACCACGTGAATTATAAAGAAGACAAAGAATGTTAGCATGGAATTTGGAAAGGCGTTTGCATGCTTTGGCTAAGAATAAACAATGTTCCTACATATTATTGTTAGTGAGAACATTATCAATATAACGGGGACTTGTGATTATTTAAAAATATGCAGAACTTATTTAATTTGTGCTTTAGAAATAACTGTATATAGTGTTACAAGTTGAAAAGATTTCAGAAGAGTAACTAATACCAAATATACACCTGTGTTAGAATTCCGAAAAGGCTGCATTCTGTAAAGTCAATGGCGGTATTAAAAATGACAGAAACCCAAAACAAGATACATGTTATATAAAAAGGGACACTGTGAGATTTCCTTGCAGCATAAAACCCACAGTTCAGTCCATGAAATTTCCTTTTAATTATTTAGGCAGAAGCATGCAAACCGTCTTAGGATCTACTTAAGAGTCTCCCCCCAACCACTAAGGCTACACTCCCCTTTTCAGGAACTATGCAGGTATTCGGGCGGCTGCTTCCTCTTCTGCATCAGCTCGATTTGCATTAATTTCTGCAAGTGTTCGGCCAAATCGTGCCCATTCATCGTTGCGGGGAACAGCGATCTGCTGTTAAAAGAAAGACAATGTTTTATGTATACTGAAATAAAAGATGATCTTACCCTTTATTATTTAGTTTCTTTAAAAATAATTTTTCCATTAAAAAGCAATAATTGACCTGAACGGCCTTCCTGCAATTACAGGGACTATAATAATAATCTACCACATTTCAAAACAAAAGACGATGTTTTGTGAAGTATGTTGTGACAACCTCAGAAATGACTTTGCTATTATCACCATCAGCACAAGAGGGAATAACAATGATGCTTTGTAAATATAACTCCTGTGCACCGTCTCATGGGTTTTGCTATCGGAGAGAAAGTCCTTAAAAATCTTTTTACTTTATTCTTGCACCGTTCCCAGTATGAAATAATTTTTGAAGCACAGTTCTTCAGAGCTGCTTTCTTTTAAGTATTTACGTAGTATTTTTGTTTGGCACGTAAGAGGACCCTTCTTGATATCGTAATTCCTTCATCAGAAGCTATGCTACTTCCTACTTTAGTTGTACTAAAAGCAAAAGGGGAAAAGAAGTGTGTGATGCTTCTAATAGAGGCAGTCCAATAATGAATATTTTTGATAATTGCCATTTAAATATCACAGGAGTCTGACACTGCCATGTTAGGGCATGAACCACTCAGTGTGGCAAACATATATGTAACCTTTATATATAAATTAATTAAAATGAAATACAATTTTAAATTCAGTTGTATTAGCCAAATTTTAAGTATTCACAATAGCCATATGTGGCTAGTAGTTACCATACTAGACAGTGCAGATAATGAACATTCTATATGCGAAGATGATTCAATTGATTCTTCTAAATGATTCAATCTACTTCCCACCAGATCCAACTGCTAGAGTCCATGGGGTATCTGAGAGGATGGGGTATCAAGAGGCACAGCAAAAGAAAAAGTGACTAAGGTACTAGTTAGGGCTAAAAAGGAGGAAATCCATACTGTGTATTGTGTACAGCCAATCAGAGCACCAGAGAGAGAAAGCTGCACCTCATCCTAACGGATTCCGCTGCTTGGCATCAAGTCTCAACACGCAAGGGGCACGGTTCCCACAGTTATCAGATAACTCTGAAAACATGTTACTTTTGACTTCTACTACATGCCCAAACATACTGGCAGATATAGAAAAATAAAATCTTACTTCAGTGTCAATTCTGTAAACCCCCAAAGTCCATCTGTAAGTCCAAACTTTTTCTCCCTGAAGAACTTCTAATTTCTAGCAATGTATGCTTTAAGGAATAAGGTATTTCCCAACGTATTATATTACCCTCAAAATCTGTTGCATGGGGACATATGATATTTAGTTTAGAAAGAAAATTAATTTTCAGAGTTGCTTCTGTGGTAGAAATTTTTACCTTTACAATCATATGGGTTTGTATAATTCATGAACCTTGAAGACTAGGTTTAGCCACAAAGATACCTACACTACAATGCCACTAAATAGATGTGTCAAATTTATAGGCATCGAGTCCCATACCTCTCCAACATCATATATAACAATCTGTCCTTCAGAATCACCCACGGCAATCTCTCTTCCAGAATGAGTCCATCTTACACGATTAAGAGCAGGGTTGCCCTCCACGGAAATGCTGGCAGTTGGAACCTAAAGTCATTTAAATATCGTACACGTTAGAAGTTTCATCAAGATTTCTATAAACATGTAAAATAGTGATTCTTCTTTCCATCTGGCTACATTTTTAAAAATGAAGATGAAAATAGACAAAGAATTTTACCAACTTTCTTCCTGTTTAGCAATATGTTATAAATGACATTCTAGCCAATCTTTGAAAATAGTTTGGGAAAATAAGTCCTCATATAAAAAATTTCACAAGACTAGATACTTCATTTTGAAAGGTCTTTTTAATAAAGGATTCTTCATTGTTGTTTTAACTTCTTTAAGAAGTCAAGCTGTTTGAAAACATATGGCCAAAACCTATTAAAAAAGAAAACATTTCAAAAGCCCACATAAACAGATCATGGTCCAGTTTTAGAGGACAGGAATGAGTTTGGTAGCCTGCATTTTTTCAGCTGAAATCTGTCTTTGATTCACAGCTCCTAGAAGCAGTTCATGCTGAAGGTGCAGTGTGAGTCTTTCCATGCTTTCCCTGCCCCCCTTCCCAGGAACTGGCTAGAAGGAGGCAGGATGAGGGTGCCCACACAATGGCCAACAGGCCCCTGGAATCTACTTGTGCCTCTCTTGCGCTGAGGAAAAAGATTTATTTGCCATACATTGAGCAAATATTCAGTGTCTGATTCACACTAGAAGCATGATAATATTAAGAAAATTTTTGAAATCTAACAAAAATAATCCTTCTAACTGGTATCAGTTCATTCCCAAATGAATAATTTAACCCCCTAGAATGCCAAAATCATTATAAAGGAAAATTATATTTTGATATGTTCTTTTAACTATTATAGGTAAGATTCACATTTAATAGTAATCACAAATCTTTAAGAACAAAATCCAACTAAGGGCTCAGCACCCATAGCACAATGGTTACGGTGCCAGCCATATGCACCAAGGCTGGCCCAGCTTAGGCCAGCTAAACAACGACACCTGCAACAAAAACATAGCTGGGTGTTGTGGTGGGTGCCTGTAGTCCCAGTTACTCGGGAGGTTGAGGCAAGAGAATTGCTTAAGCCCAAGAGTAGGAGGTTGCTGTGAGCTGTGATGCCACAGCACTCTACCGAAGGTGACATAGTGAGACTTTGTCTCCAAAAAAAAAAAAAAAAAAAAACCCCAAAGATTTTTTTTTCTTCTTGGGAAGAAGAAACTTTTGGCGAAGACACTGAGTGACTTTCTTGCCAACAACTGTTACCGACAGAACTGCTAACATTACTTCCACCATCAATAGCAATATAGAATTCAAAGAATATTTTAAGCTTCTCTAAGCTGACAAAAATACATATGACTAAAAATAAATGATAGCGGCGGTTAAATTTAATTGCTAATAAGAGATTTAAGGATAGCAATTAGGAAATTTGATTTTCTCTATATTCATTTTGTAGTGACACTAACATACTGTTTTCAATCATGTGTGGAAAAGGTCATCAAAATATGTTTTTCCTCCACTCAAGTCAGGCTGAGACTGTTTATGGATGATATACAATCCTATCAAAGCTAAGAGATAATTTAGAAATTCAGAACTAAGGTTAACATATTCCAGCAGTCTATGAATGAAAACCATCTTGGTTGCCTTATGAATGAGACTTTGCCAGGACATTAGAGACATGACAGTATTTTTCAGAAATAAAAGGAAATGCCCCAGTGCTCTTGGCAACATTATTTCTCCCTTCGGTTCCGCACAGCATGCTGTTTATTATTTAGGGTACAAAGCTTATTTGGTTTCTTTGTGATGAAGCTACAATCACAGGGACCTTTTACATTCTTTGTGATAAAAGGAATTTCACAAATTATTCAATAAATATCCAATTTTCTATTTTTCAGTGCAATTTTTTGTATTTTCTTGCTCACCTCTGTGTCATTATTGAGATTCCACAAATCCAGTCTCCCCATGCCATCCACACAGGCAAATAGGGCTGGGTGGGTGGGTGACCACATAACATCGTAAACATAGTCTGAATTATCTTCAAATGAATACAAAGGCTTGTTATTCTGAAAGGGAAAAGTTGATTCTTAGCACAGTCAAAATATAGCATACACACAAATCATTGAACTACTTATTACTGAAAAAATTGACATACATTCAACAGGCATAACATTTTATGATATTTAACTCCACTTAGAAAAAGTTCCTACAATTTGTTTCACTACGGAATTACCTGGTGTTACAAACTAAGAATCAACTATTGGGTTACATTTTTTTTTAACTTGTAGATGCCATACTGTTTAAAAAAAGGACCAGAACATGCTTCAAAAACATCTGTCAATGAAAACATTTCGGAAAGATGACAGCACTGGCAGCGTATTTTTGTATCTCCTCTGAAATTCCCTGTAAAACCACTTAAAACAATGAGGATAGCAAGTCCAAAGATTTCACAGACAATGCCTACAACAAAATCAGGAGACAAACCTCCAATATAAGCAGAGGGCAACAAACCTCTGACTCATGGCATCACTATCAGTGTAGGAAGGAGTGGAAGGAAGGCAGGAGTTTCTGACAGCCTGAGAAAAGCAGCAGAGATGACGAGGGAGTGTGGCACAATCGTATTTATAATACAGTTGACACAAGTTTGAACTGTGGGGGTCCACTCAGCGTATTTTCTGCCTCTGCCACCCCCAAGGCAGAAAGATCAACCCCTTCTCTTTCTCCTCTTCCTCAACATGAAGATGACAAGGATGAAGACCTTTATAATAAACTTCCACTTAATGAACTTTCTCAATAAAGTTTTATTTTCTCTACCTTACTTTGTGAATAGAGTATATAATATATATAACATAAAATATGTGTTAATTGACTATCAGTAAGGCTTTTGGTGAACAGTAAGCTATTACTAGTTAAGTTTGAGGGGAGTCAAAAGTTCATATGCAAATTATGAAACGTGTGGAGGGGTCAGTGTTCCTATCCACCATGTTCTTGAAGATCATGTGTAAATGCAAGCAGACTGTGATGCAATATAAGTAAGGTCTCATGGTAAAATACAAGCTATATTAAATATCTGTATCTCCACTTTGCAAAAACCACAGAAGAGACAGCTTTGACCTAGAGCAGCAGTTCTCAAGCTGCAGGTCACGACCCCTTTGTAACAATGAAAACACATCCTGCATATCAGATATTTACATTACGATTCATAACAGCAGCAAAATTACAGTTATGAAGTAAAAACAAAAATAATTTTATGGTTAGGGGTCACGACAACATGATGAACTATATTAAAGGGTTGCGGCATTAGGAAGGTTGAGAACCACTGGCCTAGACTATGAAACTAGAAAAGCTATTCCTGCCCATTCTCTACATACTAAAAGTATAGAAAAACTCATTTCATTAGTAGACAATAAGCAAAAGAAAAAGCTCTGTGTCAAATCCCACACAAAGTGATTGTGGTGTCAAAACAATTAAATGGGGTTGAGGAAGAACAGTCTTTTCAACAAATGGTCCTAGGCCAAGTGGATGTATATGCCCTTGCAAAAGAATAAAGTTAGATCCCTCTTCCTTCACACAAAAATTAACTCAACTGTATCATAGATCTAAATGGAAAACCTAAAACTATAAAGCTTTTAGGAGTAAGCATAAAAGTAAATCTTCACAACCTTGAACTTGAGAAATAAATTTTTAGATATGAAGCCAAAGCCAAGGAACAAAAGAAAAAGTAGATAAACTGGACTTTATCAAAATTAAACACTTTTGAACTTCAAACTATACCATCAAGAAAGTGAAAAGACGACTTACACAAGGGAGAAAATATTTATAAGTCATGTATCTCACAAGTGACTTGTACCCAGAACTCTTACAATAGCCAATTAAGTACAAAAAAAGATGCTCAATACCATTAGTCATGAGAGGAATACAAATCAAAACCATAATCATATACCACTTCACATCATTACGATGGCTAGAATTAAGGAGAGAGGCAACAAACGCTGGTGAGAGTATGAGAACTCAGAACCCTGTCACAATAGTAGTGCCAATGTGGAGAATGGTGCACCCACTTTGAAAAAGTTTGACAGTTGCTCAAAATGCTAATTAGTTACCGTATGACCCAAACAATCTACAACTACACACAATAACATGATGATACACAGAAATACAAAATCCAGACCATGAGACACTGTAGGATTCTGGTTTCTTCTTCAAGAACAAAAGAGCAAGGAAAGAAGAAGTAAAGAAACCTATTTTAAGAGAGGGTCTTAAAAAACATGCCAATCACAAATGTATGGACCACATTTGGATTCTGCTTCAAATAAAAAATAGTAAAAAAAAGCCCCCCCAAATAAAAAAA